CCTTTCACTTTTCTTGGGCAAAAGAAGAACTATCAGTCTTCTCCCTTCCAAGGGTTTTCAAATTACTGCAGGGTTTATTTGGAGCTTCTAGTAAAATGGCCTCATGCTGTGCCTCTGGACCCCTCTGACTTCCCTGCAGTTCCTGCAGTCAGGGGAAAAGCAAACGTGCAATTCCTGACTGACACCAGCTTGTCCAAAGATCACAAAAGCTGCTGTGAAAGCAGGTCAGGATTTAGATCAAGAATCTACTCAAGAAAACCCAGCATAACTAAATCTTCCCACCAATACACAGTTCCTGCACCGTTTGCCCTCTCATCCTGCAGGATGCCAAGCAGTGGACCTAAAGTTCCCACACCCAGATTTTGGTGTCACAGCCTTTAACTGCAACCTGGGTCTGAGACTTTTTTTTTTTTTTTAATTTCTTTTACTCTGCCCATTTAAAAGGAACATATTTCTGTGAAAGGTTCCAACTGTAAAACCGGGCTGGACATTGCAACGTGCTCCACATTCCAGCCTTGCATGGCTGGAGTGGTGTCTCATATCCTGAAATACCACCTGCAGCAGCCCATGAAATATTAAGGCTCCCCTCTAGCTGTGGCCAGGAATACCTTGCAGCAGCAGTTCCCAGGGGCAGAACGCTCCGAGAAAGGTCACTGACACAGCACAAAGGGCACCGACACAGCGGCCACCGGGAGCAACTCTCCTCGGCACTATTATTAACAGCCCCAGCAGCCCTCGGGAATCTGCAGCGGCTCCCACGGCCCCAGACAATGAGAGAGCCGGCTGCTGAAGGCAATTAAGGGACATTTAATGGCAATAAAGGGACGTTTAATGACAATGGGGAATGATACCATCACAAATAACATCCCCAGTCTCCTTTGCCATCGTGCTATGCTGTCCTAGGAGCAACATCCTCAGTGGTGTGACCTGCAGGAGCTCAGGAGACTTCTGCAAACTGAAGTGATCCCACCAGTGGCATGAACAGGGATCTTACCTGGATAACTCACTCCAAGGACTCCTCGAGCCCCTCTGCTCTGGAGCCAGGCTGGGAGAGCTGGGGGTGTTCCCCTGGAGAAGAGAAGGCTCCAGGGAGAGCTGAGAGCCCCTTGCAGGGCCTAAAGGGGCTCCAGGAGAGCTGGAGAGGGACTGGGGACAAGGGATGGAGGGACAGGACACAGGGAATGGCTTCCCACTGCCAGAGGGCAGGGAGAGATGGGATATTGGGAAGGAATTGCTGGCTGGGAGGGTGGGGAGGCCCTGGCACAGGTTGCCCAGAGAAGCTGTGGCTGCCCCTGGATCCCTGGAAGTGTCCAAGGCCAGGTTGAGCAACCTGGGCTGGTGGAAGGTGTCCCTGCCCAGGGCAGAGATGCCCCCCAAGCCCCCAGTCCCTCCTCACTCCCACAGGGGCTCAGTCTCACACACAGATATCTCCACATTTTCCCATTCCTGTCAAAAATAACTCAGGCTTTTAATGCACCTTTTCTCTGCAATAGGGGATCAAGGAGCAAGAAACTTTACTCAATTCATTAAATAGTTCTAATTTCAGAGAGTCTGGCAGACTTTCAGCTCGTTTCTTTTGAAAACAATTCCAGGGGAGGCTGAACTCCTGGTGACTTCATGGGGCTTTTTATAAAGCGACTTAATGAGGGTGGAGGGACAGAAACAGCTGCAGAATCACCCTGGCTGTGGCAGAGATGCCCTGAGCCTTCAGCAAGGCCACCCCCCCCCCATGTCTCCCAGGGAAGATGCTCATGGAACACGCTGGTTTTCAGGGAAGGAGACAACTTACCTTCAATTTGGGAACGTCTCGTGACAGATCCTGATCACGTTCTCAGCCTGTGCTCCTTTGTGTTGGCTTAATTAATTTTTAATAATTCCTTTCCCAATCTGAACATTCAGCGCTGATCGGGTTCCACCGAGTTGAAACACTTTCCGTGCTGGAAATTCCCTGGCAAGAACATCTTTGCTGAAAACTACAACTGAAGATCAAAAAACTCTCGCAGAAGCGCGTTGTCGACCCACAGGTTTCCGAGCAACAAATGTTTTTGTTCGTCCCATTTGGCTTTGTTTTGCAAAGCGAGTAAATCGTTTGCAGGTGTGAAAGGGAGTCGTTCCCATAATGAAACCGGCTGTGGAAAAACAGCAGCAAAGGTGGCAGTGGCAGGTTTGCTGAGGAAGGACTGTTGTTAAAAAGCAGAAGCGACACAGACTAAGGCAAGAGTAATGACAGGCTGTCCTAGGCAGTGCAGGCACCACGGAAAACCCCGTGGAATCGCTGTGAATGTCTGAGCTAAAAGCTCATCCTGAGACAAAAAATTAACTTTCAGGGGTTACTGGTCTGCCCAACAGATCATTGAATTACTCCCTCACGGTGATTTGGGCTAAGAGGGGTTTTGAGCAGCACGTTCAGCTGCCGGGTTAGAGGAGAGATGATGGTTGCAAAAACAGGAGTGGCACAGGAGGGACTGGACAGGGATAAGCCCCTTTCCCATGGGTGGAATAAGAGGATCTTTAAGGTCCCTTCTGACTCAAACCATTCTGGGATTCCACCACCTCTGCTTTAGGAACACAGAGCCAGCTGAAATCCATTGAGCTCCAGCTCTGCAGCAAAACCCAGGAGCTTCTAAAATCAGCTGCAAAAGCTCCAGCACGAACAGGATCTCACCTCAAATTCTGAACAGAAAAACCCAAATCCTGACTCCAGTAGTGCCCTTGACCCAGGATCCTCCTTCCATCCACAAGAACCTCCACTGGTCCCAGTCTGCCATGGCTGGTTTCAGCTGGGAATGTTGTAGACTAATAAATAAGATGTTGCCATAAAAAGGCCACAGGGCTTCCATCCCCCTGACAGATCCCAGGACTGACTGAGCCCCTTGGATACAGCAAAATTCCCGGGGATAAAGAGCTTTTAGTGTGAAGTATTTGCTGATAAAAAGGAGGATCCTGCCCCCATCTGGCCTCCCTAAAGGGAGCAGGAGCTTCATATCCTGAGGTGGAAGGGACTCACGAGGACCATCGAGTCACACCGTGGGTCAAGACTTCCCTTCTTTCATCAGCTCAGCCTGTTCCCTGCAGCACCTTTGGCATCCCAGGCATGGCAGATCCTGAAGGAATTCCCTGGCCAGCTTGATACCAACAGTTTGGTTTAGCTGTTCCTCTGATATCACAGAGTCAGAGAATCAGCTGGGTTGGAAGGGACCTCCGAGATCATCAAGTCCAACCACCGTGGTTCCCAGCCCATGGCACTGATGCCACATCCAGTCTCATCTTAAAAACCTCCAGGGATGGAGAATCCACCCCTTCCCTGGGCAGCACATTCCAATGCCATGAATTCAGGTTTCAAAGCCATAACCCGGGTAAATAATGACAGGATTCAACAGGACAAGGCCCTCCCTCTTCAACATTTACGCTGAATCTTTATATCTTTTTAAAAAAATAGTTTAAACTTAGTGTAAAAGAAAGTTTAGTTCTCATTGTTCCCAGAGATCTGCATCTCTTTGCACGACCCCAAAAGTTGCCTACATATATGTACATGCACACATATTTATATTTGAAGGAGAAAAAAGCCTTCTAGTTCTGAAGAATGAAGGCAAAAAGCAAACTGGAACTGAAAAATTAATAACAAGAATTAACTCTATTGACTACTGTCAATGTTGTCGACCATTCTGTAGTTTTGCACCTAATTCGACCTCATATTAAAATAAACCCATTTTCAGAGAGAATAAATCAACGCAAATAGAGAGTAACAACATAACCTGTCATTTAAAAAGTGGTAAACAGGATCAAGAAAGTGCTGTATCAATTAAAGAAGCAACAATGAGGGAGAACACAGCAGTCTGACTTACACAGTGGAGAAAAAAAAGCCAAAAAGCAACATTTTGTGTTAAAAAGTCTCTTGACAGTTCCGTGCCCCACAGGTAAAAGCCTAAGGAATGCCCAGTTCAGAGGAACCCTGGGCTAAATCACACAAAAATAATGTGTGATGGTGGTGGCTTCTTTTTGAACCACCTTGCATTTTACTGGAGTCAAAGGGAAACCAAGGGCAGTTCTCAGGGAAGTTGTAGCAAAGCCAAGGAATAACCGAGTTCCGAGGAAAAGGAACATTCCTTCACCCACCAGCAAAGACATCCCAGGAGAACCATGGAATCCCAGAGTGGGTGGGGTTGGGAGAGACCTTAAAGCTCATCCAGGTCCATGTAATCTTTAAACCCAGCCTTGGCTCCGTGGGTTTTGCTTTCCAAGAAGTTCCCTGTAACCCCTCGAGACTCCCCAGTACCCCCCATGTGCCCCTCCTCCCTATTCCCATCTCACAGCCCCGGGATTCAGCATTTTCGACAGGAAAACAGCATTTCACACTCATTTTAATTCCCATTCTGCACAGACTGATCACCAAACTTGTCCCTAACAACCCTCCCCAAACAAGCCCCCCCTCTCCCAGGTTTGGCAGGGCAACACATTTCACCCCAAACAGCCCCAAAATCTCGGTCAGAAATCATATATTTGCCTGAGAAGCTTCACTGCAACTCATGCACACACAAGGTTTAAAGCACACAGGCACGTTCTGACAAGTGATTTCACCTCAAAAATCATAAATACTGGTAGGTTTTAAAGAATTAGCCGTTCTGACATCACCTATAAATGCATATATAGGATGGCACAGAGCTCCCCACCCCAAATCCAGACCAAATTTGTGTTTGTTCCACTCCAACAAGAATCAAAACAACGGGATGAGTTCCCTTCAGCTCCACAAAAACCAGATTTTAAGAGACAGAAAGAGGTAAAGGGGCAGCAATTCAAGGAATGTCCTGATAAAATTACGGGGGGGGGGGGGGGGGGAAGTAGCTTAATGGAATCATGGTTTAAATTTATTATAATAAATAGCTTTATAAAATGTTTTAGCTGAATTACTTCAATATCCAAGCGTGAGTTCAGACTCCAGTGCTCCAGCTGGGAACTTCCAGCCCTCCAAAGTGTCAGGATTAATCTGAAGCCATAATTTCACACGTTCTGGAATGAGATTTTATTGCAGTCTCAGCATCAGCCACATTTCTTTCAGAAAGGAGACAAAGGGAAGTACAAAGTCCAAGGGATCCCAGGGAACCTGACCCCGTCCAGGTGATCCACGTGGACACACAGGGATGTGACTTGGCATTTGTAAACAACAGCCAGGCAGGAGGAGGCAATGACAGCGTTGGGAGAGTCACCTGGGAAGTTCATACTCCAGGAATTGCAGGTTTAGTGCTGGAGGGTGGAACTGGAGCCAGTCCTTGGTCGGTTCCCTCCAACGCAGGCTCGGAGCTGAGCCCTGGGGCTGCAGGATTCCAGGGTTTGGAGAAGAACTTGGAAAGAAATGTGTCAAAAACATTCATGGGAACATCACATGGACAGAGTTAAACTGGATCCTCTGTCGTACACCCCCAGTTTTATTTCTTACCCACGGACATGCTCACCCTGAGCTGGTTTGTTTGGTTATTTTTTAGCCTCTCCAAGACAATCCCTCTTTTCTTGGCCCCCTCTCCCACCCTCCCTGGTGGTTTCACCACCAATCCTTTCCTTCAGGAAGGATTCACACAAGGTGACACTGAGCTGATGATGCACAAAGAACCACTCCCAGCCTCCCAGGGAAAGCAGCATTTTCTGCCTTCGTTCACTCTCAGCCAAGTTTTCTACAGTTACAAAGAGGAAAAGCTTAAAAACCCCTCCCAGCTCGGTCCTTACTCACCCCAAATCCACCTTCAGAGGCTGAGGGTGGTGCAGGACTCACTGCACTGTGGATAAAGCTCCAATCCAAGATAAAAATGAACCACTTGTAAGGCAAGAAGGGAATTTCTGCTTGTGATTCCAACACAGGATGTAAAAAGTCACAGTGGCAGCCCCTTGTAATTTGCCATTTTTATCCATTTAATGCACTCACTGCAACAACAGACTCCAGTCACATCTGTAATTCCAACATTTTCCTTCCTTAGTCCCATCTCTGTGCCTCTGGGATGGCCCTGCCCTGCCCAGGGATGCAGCACTGGCTTCAATCCCACTCATCCCAACGAGCTCCAAATGGCTTTTCAGCCCTAATTCCAGTGCCAAAGTGAACATCCCACCAGCCAGAGAGGAAGGAGCCACTTCCACCAGGAGGTTCCAAGGCCAAGGATTCCTGGACTGAGTTATTTAAACAGGAATCCCAGCCAAGCACCCTGAAACAAGGACAAATCCCATCTTTCCCATCCCAAAGCGGGCTGGGTGATGCCTGATCAACGGAGAGCACTTGGGATGGAGGGGAGAATGGTAACAAAATCATCACAAATCACCTCAGAACTGCTGTGTGGGGAGGGCAAACCCACTTGTTTCCACACTCTGAGATGCTTCTATAGATATATTTCTATTCTAAGGAAATGGAAGTTGTAGCACAGGAGGAAAACCGGGATTGTGGAATTAGTTTTAGGCACTCGAGCTGCAGAGGCTGTGGAAGGGGCCTGTCAGGTCCATTTACTGCTCACACACTCCCCCTACACCCCACAGGGGAGCAGCTCCTCAGCCTCCCTGAAAGGAAAAAGATTAACAAGTGAAGCTTGGGAGACCCCTGCTCACATTTTCCAACTCTATATTCCACCTCTCCTCACAATTAAAGGCCTGGGTAACTTTCAGATTCCAGAGACCACTGACCAAATTTATTACCTGCTAAACCAAGAGAAACATTTTAAGTATTATTGAAAAAGGGCTTAATGCGATTTTTTTTGCTCCTAAAATGCCACTCTGCAGCATAAACTTCAATAACCAGTTTTTAAGGCCTCTCCCTCCTCTGTAGAATATCCTAAGGAAGAATTCCATATCCTTAGAAGGAATTGCACAGAGAACAAAGGCAAAGCTGGAAGCCAAGGCAGCACAACACCGAGGGTCAAACACAACCAAGGTCACAGCTCAGGGTAAGACAATCCAACAATTCCCAACAATCCCCAAGTGGAGCTGGGAGCAGCACTGATGCAAAGTTCCCTTGTTTTTCTATGGACAAAGCTGGGAGAAAAACGGGAATTGTCCTGCAGGGAAGGGAAAAGAAAAAGCTGTAAACAAGAAGCTCAGCCACAAAGGGTCTGAGAGATCAAAAGTTTGGCTGCTCTTCTTGGGGACTGAAACATTTTTAACTTCCCACACGTGAACTTCAAAGCACCATCACAGAAACCATTCCAGGGGGGTTTGGAATTGTTGGCAATGGGGTGACAACCCCCACCACCCCCCCCGACTGAAAATCAGCTTCTAAAGCCCAGCTGGGAGTGCCAAGCCCTGGACAAGCTGCAGGCACAGGATGTGTCAGTGAACATCAGGCACCTCTGAGTTGTGGCCACATCTGCCCCCAAAAATACAGAAGAGACACAAAACTCGTGGCTACACATGCCATGGCACACCTTGGTTGGAGCTGGGTTAAGGCTGGCTTGTTTTCACTGTCCCCCCACACAGAAAACAGCTCAAATATTGGGTTATAAACCCCTCAGGGCACCAAAGACACCGTTCAGCAGCCAGGCTGGGTGTGCAGGGACCTCCAGCTCCTCGGGGGCTGCTCCTGAGCCCCAGGGGAGGGCAACCACGAAAGTGGAAGTGGCCAAGAGAGGGGAAGAGCAAACCCAAGATAAGCCCTGTGTAAACACACAATGTCTGGTCAAACACAACCCACACCTGGAGAAACCACCACACACCTTCGTTGCACGGACACAGAAATGCTACAAAGGTCCAAACGAGCAGCAAATACCCCAATACAGCTCCATCACTGCCCTCTCATTAACAACAACTCCTTTTCTTAACAACCAACCCCCAGCCTGAGTGAACGAGCCTGGAGCTGTCAGCGTTTAACACCTCGGAGGGATCAAAGCAAAGACTCACAAACCAAACACTTGGGTTTAGAAGCAAAGTCTGCTTTTTCTTTTTTTTTTTTCTTTTTTTTTTTTTTTGTTTTCCAGACTAGAAAATGTACAGTTCCATTCCATGTGTGTGCACGGAGCTCGTTGCTTGTAGATACTGTCAGAGAGACAGAGAGAGCCTCTGCAGGAAATTGTTAATTCTTCAAACATTGATACAGTTTGCAATACACCAGTTAAATACCAAGATCTATGTGCATGCACTATGGGTATATGCATGTACACCTTAATGTTTAACAGAGACAGCACATCCCCCGGCCAGGGAGCCTCAGAGATACCAAAAAAATAGATTAAAAAGGTCAATTCTTTCCCTGCCTTTGTTAAAGACAGATTTTTGAGGCTGCCTCCCTTCCCTTTCCCCGGGGGGATCCACGTGCTCCCAGGGAGGCAGGAGCACCACCAGCCAGATTATCCCAGAGAGAAGCACCTTAAAAAGTTCAAACTGAGCTTTTTCTGTAAAATGCCTTTTCCATCCTCCTCAGGAAGGGAAGGACACCTGAAGCACAGGTTGGTTTCGTTCTGCTGCCCTCCCCACACCTCCCCAACAGAAGAGCCTGTGATTAAGGCCACGTGCACTCCCCACAGCCCTGACATGTCAGACCACCATCCCAACTGCCTCCAGCCTCTAAAATGGGAATTCTGGACACCTCCTGCACGGGACAGGCATCCCACCAGGTGCTACAGCAAGGAAAGGTCATCCTAGTGTTCCAAAAGTGCTCTGGGGACCATGCAGGGAGTTCTGTTTTCACCTGGAACTCGTGTGGGTCACTTAGAGCCTTCGAAGTAGTGTCATGTTTTGTCCCCATCCAGTTCCCTATTGATATATCTGCACATTTATGTAGCAAAGAGTTTTTCCTCTGAAAAACACTTCATTAGAGTGTGACTTGTATGACTCCAGTGGGACTGTCAAACACACTTTTGTGCCTCCTCTTTGGTTTATAAAAAAAAAAAAGACATTTTTCCCTTTTTGACAGCTGAAGGTACTTTTAGACCTGAATCAACCAACCAGCAAAGGAGAGCAGTGGGCAGGACGTGCACCTGCAGCATCACCCAAACAACAACTGCAACAGGAAAGGAAAACCCACCTCCTTTTAAACTCTCAGGCAAATTTGGCCAACACTGTCATTCAAATCTCAATCCACGTGTGCCCCAACCCATTCCAGCCTCCTCCCTACCCAAAACATCCCGTGGAAAAGCAGCCATGGGCTGAAGGGAGGGTCTGTCTGTCCAGCTGTGGGAGCCAAGGTCTGGTGGACACAGAGGGAGAGCCCTGGGACACGAGGCCGTGGCCACGTCCCACGTTGGTGCTGCTGCCAACAGGCTGATTGAGAGTCACACACTGCTCTGAACGGATTGCAAGGAACTAAAGTTGAGGTATAAATATACACAAATATGTACAGTTCACATACAGGAAAATAGGGTTGCATTTGTAACATCGGTAACCTTAAAAATACTGGAGGAGTTGATACCTAAGCCAGTGATTTGTTGCTGATTTAACTGGAATAATGAAGCCAACATCTTCCACTAGAGAGGGCTACAATGGGATAATAAAACTCTAAATTAAAAGCTCCTTTCCTCTTGCTTCATCTTCCCCACGCCCAAGGCTGGACTGTCCCGAGGGGCTGCAGCTTCTAAAGGTTGGTCACAGCTTTGAAACGGATCCTCCCAGGAAACCAAACCAAACTGGAGCCAGGGCTGCACCTTTCCCTCTGGGAATGGTCCTCCTTCCTGTACACTGTGTGTGGGCAGCTATGTAGAAAATACAGTTGCAATCAGTTCAGTATAAATACATCCACCCCACCGCCTCTGCCGGGGAACAGCTCCCCTGGAGCAATGTCTGTGCAAAGAGGGCACCAAAAATCATCTGATCTTAAGTCTTGACATCATCCACTCCAGTCCTTGGCACAGCCTGTGAACAGAAGGGACAATGGTTAAGGGATTCATGCACTTCTGAGAGGAACTCCAAAGGTAATTCCACGGCATCAGCTGAAATTCTTCCCATGAATCATTTCCAGGAACTATCCACGCCAAGTGTGGCGTTCCCTACACCCTGTTTTGGAGTGAGACACCTCAGATCCTGGCACTTCAGGACATGAAGGTCTCTCTAACTGGGATTACTCTTAATAAACCAGAACAGATTCCAGGTCATTCCCACTGGGCTCTCATTAAGCCCAGTTCACACACAGTTTTATCTCTGTGAGGTGAGACCGTGGATTTGATGTAAAATTTGATTTTCTGACCATACTGATCCTAAGTCAGTGTGTCCTGAGCCCAAAATAAGTGTCAGGATTATTAAGTGGGGAGGCCCTGGAATGAAATTCCCAGAGAAGCTGTGGCTGCCCCATCCCTGGAAGTGTCCAAGGCCAGGTTGGAGCAACGTGGGATACTGGGAGGTGTCCCTGCCCATGGCAGGGGGTGGGACAAGATGATCTTTAAGGTCCCTTCCATCCCATCTGGGATTCTGGGATTATTATTCTGGGATTGTTACTGAGAGGGGAGGAATGTGTGTTAAAACCAAACACTAGAATAACCCCCCCAAATAACTCCAGAGCCAGGAACCCCTCTTACCCCTCTCCAGTTAGAGCACAGCAGGCCTGAATGTGCCACTGGTGATCCTTAATGGAAGTGAGCTTCAGGAACTGGGAGATCTCAGCCACTGTCATGCACTCCTTCACATCCTGCTTGTTTGCAAAGATCAGCAAACCTGCTTTTTTCAAGTCCTGGGGAGAGAGAGGAGAAGAGAAGATGATGACAAAGCAGCCCCTGGAGGCAAATGATGTGATATCAAAGAGAACCCTGAGCCCCATCCAAAAATCCTGCAGGAAAACTGCTGCAGGGGGACATGGAAGGGCAGGAAACCCTTTGAGCCAGCAGCCCAAACATCCAGGCTTTGCCATGGATGATGTGCAAAACTCAGCACAACGTTCTGCTGTGCTCCAGGAGGATCAGAGCACCTGTATCCCTGTGCAGCACTGAATTTGGGAACAGGGACTCTGTGGAAAAGCTTGTTTGGCCTCCAACTGCTTGGAATTACACCAGTGCAGGGGTTATTATGGAAAATGTCTCCCTTGGAAAGCAAAAAGGTGTTCCCAGGAAGCCAAGCCAACTCAGGCATTAACTGCCTGTCGGGCACACTGATGTTTACAGGCAGCAAAATTAATTCCCAAACCGCCACCTGGTCCAGAAAATACTTGGAACCAACCTGGGAAACTCAATTTTGCCTCAACAGGAGCTCAATGGAACCCCTGGGCAGAAAGGAAAGATTTCCAGGAGCAAAGAAAAGCCATTTAAAATAAATATTTGAGTTTCCTTTCGGCCTGTAGGTATTGCTGTTCTCTCCAAACAGCCTGGAAACATCCTGCTGGACAACAATGGGCACATTCACTGGGGGGTGGGTCAGGAATCACATCCCAACACGGAGCAAGGGCTCCTGCAGCCTGGAATTCTGCACTTTCCTCATGGCAAATTTGAATTAACAACTTCTGCATCTTCCTTTGTTAGGAAACAGAAGATGCAGATTAGAATTTACTTGATTGACTACAAGTTGAACATCAAAAAAATAAAAAAAAAAAATAAAAAACCCCAAAAAAAAAAAAAAAATAAAAGATAAATTCAAGGCACTGTTTTTTTTCTCCAAGGAAATCCATAGGCAGGGCTTTGCCCTTCCTGCAGCCCAGGGACTGTGGCTGTAGCTTAAATATAGGTGCCATATTTTGGGATGTAATGCCATCATTTTCATGCAGATTTTTTTACTCTGACACTTAAATTTGGAAGCTCAGCATCACCTCACACACACACACACACTGATCCAGTTTGCATTCAGGTCGTGCCACAGGTACTGCCTGGCTTAGACATCAGGATTTATGGCTCAGAGCCAGAGAGCTCAGGTTTAGACCTGACACAGAGCTCAGGTTTAAACAAGGACTTTGCAATTTAGCAGCTTCCACTCTCCCCTGTAATTCCAAACACAGAGCAATGGATGGCCATGGGCTGCCTGTTCCTCCAGTTTTACACCTGGTTGCCATAAAACATGTCATTATTTCACTGAAAACAGAACATCAGGCAACCCCCAAGTTATCAAAAAAGTGATTGGTTTATTGCAGGAAACAAGGGGTTTTTTTAAAGGATCTAATTCAGAGATTAACATGGATTGAGGTATAAACACCACAGAACCAGACAGGTGCCAAGTGCTGTTTCCCTGAAGGAGTCTGACAAATTTAGGATCAATTTACAATTTATTGGGAGTTTCACAAAAGACAGTGCAGGGTGGAAACCTGCTTCCCTTAACACGTATCACACAGATAAATATTAAAATAAATATATTAAAGACCCAGGGTTTACTCACCTCATGTGCCAACATTTTATACAGTTCTTCCTTAGTCACAGAGATCCTCTCTCTGTCTGTGCTGTCCACCACAACTATCACAAACTGCAAAAATTGAAGTTATTAGAGAACAAACCCCTTCTGCGTGGCCAAATGTTCCTGGGTCCTGCCCAGGCCCCTGCTCCCATCCCATTATCCAGCTGGATTATCACCCCTATCCCACCCTCTCCCCTCAGCCCCAGTGGGGAGTCCCCCAGCCCTGGGGTGGTTCCCACAGCTTGTGCTGTGGTTTGGGGACAAAGGCAGCTCTGACACAACTTGGGACTTTCTGTTCTCCATTTTTAAGGGAAAAAATTCATACTGAAAGTGAGGAAATTCTCTGTAATCCCAGGTCTGGGGTTGCTCCTTGCCTGGCACAACTGAGGCCCCACAGAGATCCCTCAAATCATTTGCTGCAGCCTTAAAAACATAAACTGTTATCAGCTTTCTTTCTCTGGTTCTAAAACTAACAGGCAAATAGGGATTCAAAAAGTCAAAGAGCCCACATGCAGATAAATGTCACAGAATCCTTTAGGCTGGAAAGGACCTGGAAGAGGTCACAACATCTCACAGGGAAGCACAGGAGAACAAAGGCAATTATTGTAAGAATTGTATTTAACCACAGATAAATATAATTTATAGAAGATAACTGTATTGAAACCATATTTGACAGCACACAGGAGACCTTGATTTGAAGCATTATTTTTATCAAGTTATGTGCTTGATAAAATGTATATATATATATATATATTTATATGTGCTGCAACTTCACTGCTGAAGATTTCTGAAAACTCTTTGGGGTGATGAAGTAAAGTGATGATGGGATCCCAAAGTCTTGGGGGAAAACTTTTGGAGTCTCCTCCTTATTCCTGAGGGGTCGGACAGGTTTTGGAGGGAGTGGTCACGGACAATGAGGGAGGAACTGTCAACATGGGGCTGCGCAATCCCAGAGTGAAATCCCCACCAACAGGATTTGTGCCAGGGCATTCCCTGCCCAGGGAGGGCATTCCCTGCCCCAAGAGGGCATTCCCTGCCCCGGGAGGGCATTCCCTGCCCCGGGAGGGCATTCCCTGCCCCAAGAGGGCATTCCCTGCCCCTGGGAGGGCCCCACCTCGGTGTTGGTGTAGTAGGTGTTCCAGGAGGAGCGCAGGGACTCCTGTCCCCCGATGTCCCACATGAGGAAGCGCGTATTGTTCACCACGATCTCCTCCACGTTGCTCCCGATGGTGGGGGACGTGTGGACAACCTCGTTCATGGAGCTGCCCGGGGAACAGGGACACTGCAGTCACCACCAGCACCCCCACACCGGCCTAATTCCAGAAATCCCACCCCTGGAGGGCGTTCCCAGCTCAGGGGGGAATCACAGACACCGTCCCAGACAAGGGGCGAGGGGGGGAGGCGCATAAAACCAAATCAAACCAGCAATAAAATAACTCACTGAGCTGTGGAACAATCAAATTAGAGAGCTGAGAGCACACTCCTGAATACGACTGTGCTATAATCCATTACAACAGAAAGCTGGGGGAATTTCCCCCTCAGAAGCTGTTTGGAGCTCACAGCTTCTTCCTTCTCCAGGCCCATCTTGGCACACGTGGGACAGAGCAGTTGTTTTGCTCCAAGAACGTGGTTAAGCCACAAGATTCCCAAGGTTTCAGGAAAACAAGAGCTCCTCATCCAGCCCTGCTGACACACCACATCCACTACATCCCACTCTCCTTCCAGGGCAGGCCACTGAAAACAGATTTTATCCACAACCCAGTTGCTTTATGCCCAAACTTCCCCCTCCAGCACAGTCCAAAACACAACTTTTTGGAGACATCCAGTCATTAAATATTCCAAATATATTGCTTGGAGATCCTGGGTGTAACTTTGTCACTGAGACCACCAGCTTCACACCAAATAACCAAATGTGTGCTCTGGATACTCCTGAGGTTCAAACCATTTAAACTCCACTTTAACAGGCAAAAAATTTAACAGCGGTTTCAAAGCAAACCAATTTTCTAGGAATTTAATTATTTGTTTCTTCTGATACTCTTGATGTATTTTGTCATTACATATGAGGTTTTTAAAGTTTCATCAGAGGTTTTGGTTACAGTGACAGCAATTTGAGACTTGTAAGGTGCTGGAATATTTCCTGAAGAGGACACTGGGAGCCAGGGAGCTAAAGGGATGGTCCAGCGTTCTGGAATGGAATCCCAGTTAGGAATCCCAGTTATCCAGTGTCTCACAGCATTTAACAGGAAACCTGCTCACCACACACACTTGAAGGCAAATATTGGAGAGAAGGAGAAGGACTGGGAGGACCCTAAAATCAAATGAAGGATAACAATGATGCCTGGGGCTGATTTCATATTTAGAACCGGGTTTCAGCAGAGTTCTTTCAAAGCTTGGAAGGGACTTATGATCCCCTTTCCTTGACTGAACCCACAGCCTTTCCCATTCCAGCTGCTGGCATCTCCCAGTTTGCAGCAGGACAGGTGGGGTAACACCATTTCTAACACCTTTTCTGATCACAAACTCCCACTGAGGGGAGGGAGATCTGAGCACAGAACAGGAAGGAACAAAGTGTCTGTAAGAGGGAAAATGGGATGTGCAGAGATGGGGGAGGGCTAAGGAGGGGTCAGGCAGGAGGAACAGAGCAAAGAGGGAAGGGGGATACCAGAAGAGACATGGGAAAGTCCTGTGGAGCTAAACTGGGTATAAAGGAACAGGACACACAAAGATCCACTGTCTGAAAGGGAAAATAAAACACTGAAACTGCAGAAATAAGGGGAAGAACTGAGAGACATCTGTGAGGAAGTGGAAAGTCACAGCAGTAAATGCACCAGGACAGCCCTGAGCTGTATTAAAAAATACCCTTCACTCTATCTGTGCTTTCTAAACCATCTCACCCACTAGATAAATCCCAGCCCCATCCTTTCCCTCTGCCTGCAGTGTGAGGGCAGGAGCAGCTGGAGGTGCTGCACCAGTGCCACGTTTTGGAAAGGCAGAAGCAGGTCAGAACGTGACAAACCCCAAACGTTGCCAGAAAGCACATTTTCAATGCAGGGCTGGAGCAGCAGGGCCACATCTCTCACCAGGAATTATTCCTGGTGCTGCCTCGGCAACACTTCACGTGGGAAAGGGCCAATCTGTTCCCAACACAGACCTTGAGCTGCTTGTGCCACCCAGGAGCTTCTGTGCACAAACGTGTACCCTCTTATCAAACTGCAGCTCAGGATCTGAGATAGAGAGCTCCTATGAGCCTCTTGTACAGCAGGGGCAAGGCTGGGGCAAGGCAAACACCAGCCAAAGCCACTGGTAAAGGCAGAGGGTGCAGGACAGCAGGAGATGTGGTCCTGGCTCCATCCTGGGATCAGCCCTCCCCCTTCATCCCCAGCCACAGACGGACATCCCAGCACACGAGTCATGGCAGGGAGAGGTGCTCAGCCACTCACAGAGCAATTTGTCTGGTATTTAAATCTGTGCAAAGGATCAGTTTGGCAACACTTGTCCCGTGGCCAACACTCACCCCAATCCTATTTTACAGAGCTGGCAAAGAGCCAAGGCCACGTGTGGTGACAGCACAGGTGAGTGTGTGGTGACAGCACCTGCACAGAACCTCACTCACAGACCAGGCAGAGCAGAGACCCTTCCAACCTCTCACCACCCCCTGCCAGCTGTGAGTAAAGCCACCCAGGGAAGCAGCAACATGCCCAACACACACCTGGGAACACCCCAAAATTCCCCCCCCACACACACAGAGGGTCATACTCACAATTGGTACAGAATGGTGGTTTTCCCTGCATTGTCCAGGCCCACAATGATCACTTTGTGCTCTGAAATGACAACAGCACTAATAAGTCACTTCATTCATTACCGTGACATCAGCTGTGTGTGAGACCTTAGTGCCACGTTTCCCACTGGCTCCCCAAGCACACACTGCCCAGCTCCAGCTGTTCAGACTGTGTGGGGAGCTGCTGCTCCCAGCAGGGAAGGGGCTGGAAACTCATCCCCCTCTGCAGGAACAACTGCTGAGATCACACGGGGATGTTCCCTCCTCTAAACTGCCAAAGCCACGTCCCACTGGAATCCTCTCCCAAGCTCCTACAGCAATCCCACGTGGTAAATGTTCACTTTCCCTTTGCCATGGCACTATCTTGATCTCTTGGCAAGTTAAAAAAGCAGCTTTTGCAAGCAAAACACACAACCAGGCTGAGCTGCACCTGTGAGCAGGGAGGGAGATCCCCCTGTGCCCTCAGTGCCCTCCTTCCCTTCCAGCAGCTCTGGAACCCAGAGGACAGATTTGCCCATGGACATCTGACAGGACACACTCACCCAGTGGAGTTTTGGGTGCTACACAAACCTCCTCTGACGCTCTGGAGCCCCATGCCCAAATCAATTATTACTCTCCTTATCACCAAACCGACTGGGAACTCCACAGCTGCTGTTGAGCACATCCAAACTTAGGATTTCCAGCATGGGTGAGCACAGCCAGCTCCCAGCCCTGTTACACAACTTTTACTGCACAAACAACCAGGACTATTCAAAGTGAAAGCCCTGTGAGAGGGGGCTTTCTTCCCCCCTTGCCCACTGGTCCTCAAGGGCAACAAAAAGCCATTATAAACACTGAGATCAATGTACACTCACACTGATTTACCCCAGGGGAGAGGGAGGGGACAGGGGTCGGGTGAGTGGGGTTTTCTTGAGTTTGACTTTGCCAATATTGTGGGGTTTTGTAGAGTTGTCTCGTGTGCCACCCGATACAAACTCCAGTTTTAGTAACTTTGCATAACTCCACGGTACCGTAGAAGTCTCTGCTTACCTGACCCCACATAACTTTTAGGAACTTTTGTGATGCTATGCCAGCATAGGAAATGTTTGGGAATCAGCTGGATCAGAAGGTCTGGATGCTACAAAAACATTTTGTTGTATTTGCACTAAGTGTTAACGGGGACATAAATGGGACATTGAACCTGCAGGTGTGAAACTCCGCCAAAATCGAATTTCAGGGGCCTGAAGAACACGGAAAGAAGTGTTTTATAGCTAAAGTGACAACTCTGATGAGCACCTTACTCTAAGGACACAGGTGTTACAAATCACAGACTCACGGGATGGTTCGGGAAGGGAAATTATGGATCATCCCGTCCCACCCCTGCCATGGGCAGGGACACCTTCCACCAGCCCAGGCTGCTCCAAGCCCCGTCCAACCTGGCCTGGGACACTTCCAGGGATCCAGGGGCAGCCACAACTAAAGCTATAAATAGCATTTACTCGATAAACGAGCCAGATATCGAGGTTTACCACTTCAAACCACACTCCTGCCTATAAGCCGAAACTACTCGCCACGACGCAACCCGGCCGTATTCCTTCGGCACACATTAATAATGTAACAGCGGCTGTCAGGAACGAGCACTGGGGGGACTGAGAGCAGGGGGGAAAAAAAAAAAGAGTTAAACCCCCAAATTCCCGGAGCGGGTCTCCCCAGCCACCCTCAGCCACCCCCGGCACCCCGCGCTCACCCTGGTGGTTGAAGAGCCTCCATATCCTGGTGAAGAGGATCCCCATGGTCGGCCGGGGCGCTCCGGCCTCGCCGGCCGCGGCAGCGCGGGGGCCGCGGGCGCTC